CAAAGTATCGAAAATATTTGATCTTTGCCAATATTCTAGAGCATGAATGACGCCACTCTTCCAATATGTGGCCAGCTGGCCAGTCTGATTGACATTTAGGAATGCACTGACATTATTTATACAATTATTACAAAAATGCAGTAGTCTGCATGACAGTGAATCTTCTATTTTTTATGCAAATAAAAATTCAAAATGAAAAGCAAGTGTAATGTATGAGAGTCCTGAGGACATAACTGATGAATAGAGGAAATATTTTTATAGTGCCAGGAATGTATACATTGTTTATTCTGGATCCTGTTATTAAATTGGCAATTTTTTAATTTTGTGTGAAATTGGCCAAATTACCGATTTCTGATCACTTACTGGGTAGTTGAAATAGGTAAATGGGCAGTTTCTTGTACTCAGTCAATAGAATAGAAGAAATACTAGCAAAGTAGCTATGAGTTTGGTCGACTGGAACAATGGAATTGGCTGAAAATAAGGCTCAAATTGGGCGAAATCGCTGATGTGTAAATATCCTTGAGACCACTAACATTGTGAGAGTGTAATTCCATAATTTTTCCATCAAATTTTGTACATTTGATCTCATTACCTCCGGAAAAAGATTCCCTATCATTTCATGAGGAAAATATTTTTTTTTTTAATCTTTGACTGTGAGAGCAGGTTTGAGATCAGGGGTCTCGACCCTGGAAGTGTTAAAATGTCTGAATGTTGTAGGATTTGCTGGTCTCATGTGTTGCTGAAGTTGTATAGTAGATGCTCACCTCTGGTGACATGTTTGATGTGATATTAAATCCCAGTTCCTTTTCTTGGCAATAAGGCTGTCTACAATCTTCTCTCTCTTCCAATCTTCATAACTTTTTATTTGTCTGGACTGAGCTTCAGCAACCACTTGTTGCACCACATCTATTGAGGTTTTCCTGGAGCTTATAATTGTGTTCTGTTATCCCTCGCATTAATTTTACACTATCAACAGACACACAAAGAGTATGCCTATGGTAGGCCATTTACATATACAGTGGACCCATGGTTTTTGTGAATTTTGGTTATCGGCAACTTTTTTCATCAAAATATAGCCTTGGTTTTTGTGATCTCCCTTGGATTTCAATGGTCATACGGAACGTGTCCCAGTGGCCCCGCTCACACAAAGCCTTCCACAGACGCATTCGGAGTCAGTGTGGCATTGCTTCTCAGTGAGTGAACATTACCCTCAAGGTAATACGAAATATTTCGTAATAATACACTATTTTTTGCTCTTGTTTATTGTGTATGACTGCTATACAGTGTATTAGCCACCATGGGCCCAAAGAAAGCTGCTAGTGCCAGCCCTCTGATAAAGAAGGCGAGAAACACGATAGAATTCAAGAAAGATCACACCCGCCAGGGTACTTCCCCATACACACCAGCCAGGGTACTTCCCCACACACACCAGCCAGGGTACTTCCCTACACACACCAGCCAGGGTACTTTCCCACACACACACCAGCCAGGGTACTTCCCCCACACACACCTGACAACCCTATGCCTGTTGTGGAATCTGCTGTAGCTTTGGGGAAGTCCATGAGGTTGGATGTGAGTGGCGAGGATATGGAAGAGTTGATGGACAACCACAGTGAAGAGCTAACCACTGAAGAGCTGCAAGACCTTCATCTGGAACAGCAACAGACTACAGCTGAGGAAATTGCTTCAGAGGAGGAGGAAGAGAGAGGGAAGAAGGTGCCTTCTTCGGTGATTAAGGTCATTTGTGCAAAGTGGAATGAGTTGCAAAGTTTTGTGAAGAAATGTCACCTTAACAAAGCTGTTGCAGGCTGTGTCTGCAACATGTTCAGTGACAATGCCTTGTCCCATTTTAGGCAAATCTTAAAGAGATGCCAGAAACAGAGCTCTCTGGAAAAAAAATTTTGTGCTACAGGGGTCCAGTGACTCTCAAGCTGGTCCTAGTGCCAGTAAAAGACAAAGAAGGGAAGTAACCCCCGATAAAGACTTGGTACCTGAAGTCTTTATGGATGGGAATTCCCCTTCCAAACAATCAGTCCTCCCTCTCCCCTCCTCTCTGTCTTCCAACAAGAGTCTTCAATAAAGGTAAGTGTGATGTTATTATTGCTTTATATTGATTTGTCATTCTTTTCTGTATGTAAATCTATATTTAATCTCTAAAAAATTATTTTTTGTTAATACTTTTGGGTGTCTGGAACTGATGAATTGGATTTACATTATTTCTTATGGGGAAAATGGTTTCAGTTTTCGTGAATTTTGGTTTTCGACAGACTCTCTGGAATGGATTAATCATGAAAACCAAGGGTCCACTGTATCAGGAACAGTAGTGGTTATCAAAGAATAACAGCCACAATACTGAGGCTGAAACAGTTCACATATAACCCACACTTTGAAGAGGAAAAGGTTGGTACATCTTGGCCCATTATAAAATCACATCTGAATAATTAAAGGTTGGAGAGAGGTAAGACAGAGAAAGTTATCCTGGAGTAGGAAGTTAATTCCACCATCTTTTGTATGTCCTCTATTAACTTACAGTAAGCCAGTCAATTACCATAAACCACCACTTGCCTCTTGACCTGTTTTCTGATATTTTCATTACCTTAACTATCTTTTGATTTTCTTTCCCAGTTGAGAGTGATCTAGAATAGACCAAAGAGTCATCTGAAGTTTTGTCTTGAAAGTGTGGGTTATTTGTGAAATGGTCTTAATACTGACCCTTGTGGAATCCTACTCTATATTCTCTCATCTTTGTCTCATCCCTTACTGTTACTCAGTTTTTCAGGAGCATTAACCTGATTCACACACAAGTATAAACTTGTGTGTGAATCAAAAGTAAGAGCGATTAATACATGTATGTGATAAGAAAGCTATGAGATCAGATTGTCAGGCTGGCAAAATATAGTTCAGAACAGAGATAGATGCTTCATAAAATAATCAAAGTAATCGGCTTACTAAATCATAGCAATATTTGCATGTACAGTGGACCCTCGTTTTTCGTAATTATGCCATTCCAGAGAGTGTGACTAATGACGAAATTGGCGATTTGCGAAACCATTTTCCCTATAAGAAATAATGTAAATCCAATTAATCTGTTTCAGACCAAAAGTATTAACAAAAAAAATATTTGTTTTTACATGAAATATAGATTTGCATACACAGAAAACAATGAGACATGAAGAATAAAACAATAATAACATCACACTTGCCTTTATTGAAGACTCTGTATGGTATATGAATAAAATATGATATTACGTATGTTAGGAATTGTGGAGGCGGCAGGAGAGTGTGTTTGGAGGCAGAACAAGATAGTCCTTCAATATGACCTAATATCAACCCCACGGCTTATTTATCTATCACATAATAAAAAATATTAATAACATAGAAACATGACATATACTCTAGAATGAATTAAAAATGTCATTATGTATGTCACGAGTGGTGATGTGTTTTGTTGTTGGGTGTATAAGTGCCACTGAGAGCATAAGCCATACATAGTGGTGGGGAAGGCGGCAGTCTTGTCAGTAGCCCTATATAACTCCAGCAACATTGGAGGAGATAGATTCATGCTGTCCTTTTTCTATCGATCAATCACTTAACTTACTTGCTACACTGTTAATGCTACAATTTATCACTGGCTGGCACTATACCCTTTATAGACTTTTGCTGCTTTAGTATTGTACATATCTTAGAATCACTGAATCACTGAAGAAGGTACATTCTCCCCTCTCTCTTCCTCCTCTACTTTGGTACTTTGCTACGAGCTCTTCCCTGAATTTTATCGTGTTTCTCACCTTCTTTACCAAAAGCCTGGAACTGGGAGCTTTCTTTGGGGCCATGGTGGCTTATTTAGCAGTTGCAAGCACTAAAACAAATGGAATACTACAAAATGTATCATATGAACATGTGGGATCATCCTCACTCGCTGATAAACAATGGCACACTGGCTGTGAATGGAGTGTGGGGCCGCTCAAGGCTGTGCATACGCGTCTGGGACGAGTGAGGACAATTTGCAAGTCAATATTTTGACAAAAAAACATTACGATTTTCGAAAATTACGACTTCCGATGCTTATGAAAAACGAGGGTCCACTGTACAGTATTTTAAGTCAATTAAATTTTAGAGGCATTATTGAATTATCAATTAAAAAAAAAACAGAGGGACATCCCCACCTATCTTCACTATTCAAGAATTATAACCTGCTTAACTTGTAAATTGAGAAGAGCTACAGTTCTTCAGGATACATGCAGTTTACTTAGAGGTTTCTTCTCCTGATGAGTTTACTAGCCAATAATGTGCTTCATCCATACTCAGTTCATTTTACACTGACAATTGGAATTACAGGTATTGACACTGAATGACCTCTACAGGTTTAGCATTTTCAGAATAATGCAGTAATAATATTACCATTGGATAGGTGAGACTGTTTGAATACTCTTAAATAAGCACCCACTAATACAAGTTACAAAATTTTTATATGCAGTATTCTTGTTATGACAGACTACGATTAAACATTTTAGTACCAGCAGTGTTCCAACCTCCTAAGTATAAACACTAAGTATAAAACTTAGTGTTTTTTTTTTTTATAAAGACTGAGGAAATTAGATTTAGGGGACATAACTAGCAGACTAGGACATGGATTATTACAGCCACCAAAAAAAAAAAAAAAATACGGGCTAGCAATATATGGGAAGGTTGGTTGAAAATGATGATTAACACTCACCAGTAAGATAGACAAAAATTGCAGTATTAGATATTAAGGAAAAGTTTTGCCTGCTAGGAGCTTTGTAAATCCAGTGCAATTGATAAAGTCCCTGATGGGCAAACATTTCATAAATAAATATCCTAATACCACAGTTGTCTTACACTAAAAAAAAAAAAAAAATATAGCTATAAGAGGAAAAGCAGACTGTAGCCCTAGACCAGCAAAAATGTCTCTGACAGAGATATCTAGTAATTGCTTTTCCTTGTTTTCTTAATTTACATGAAATATGTTCCTTCTACAGGTCTAGCACGTTAGAATTAACTCCTACAAGAATGGCTCAAAGGTTGGCAACACCACTTCGTTCTCTACTTGAGGGACAGCGCCCATTCACAGTCTCTCTCAATCTTGCATCTGCAGAAGATGTCAGTCTTGAAGTGGAAGAAGAAGAACAGCCTATTCCTCTCCAGCCCCTTACTCACTCTACTTATACAACAGCTGTGTGATAACTAGCATAGGGGTAGCGGATATCCCTCCATTCATTCAAAAAATTTTGTATGTAAATCTGAATAATAAGGAATGCAGTTTCTTCTTGGCTATAAGTGTGTTCTATCCTTTACTGCCCTGTAGGATGGTAGAGGAGTACTGTACTGTTTTACTCCAACCATAAACCTATTCCATGTTATATTACTCCATGAGAAAAAAATTTCTTCTCAGGGCTGATTCCCAGATTCAAGGCCCTACTGCCACTGGCTATTGAGTCAGGGATTTAATTGTCCTAGCTTTCATTTACTGGGCACACACCTGATCTATCATGTTGCTGGAAGAATGCATTGGGAGTATAACAAAATCAAAATCTATTTAGTCTTCTATAATTTCTTCTAAATATTTCATGCCTTATTTTTGAAGAAGACTACTGAAAAGGAGGACACTGCTGAAGTACCTACAGTTCATATATAAATTATGGGAAAGAATATGGAAAAATGTCAATATGCTACATAAGCATATTGTATATGCTCAGTATGATAACTGTTGGTATAATGCCAGTGGTTGAATGATTAACTTACAGAATTCTGTATAGTATTATGGTTGTGTGGCACAAGCTCGAGTGCATAGAGGGATATAAAGTACAGTGTGTAAGTATTTAAGTCTGTGATCATATGAATTTTTTTAAAATTATACACAATATCCATTACAAGACTGAAATTATTAACAGTAATATAATTTCAGATGGTCATTTGTTTTCTGTTGTGAGGACTACAATTCATAAAAATGTGTATCATAAAGATATTTCTGTATATGCAGTAGGTCTTCATTCTAAGACAGGCTTGTAAAACTAGATTTTTTTAGAACAAAACATTATTGATAGTCTTTAATAATATAAATTTAGATATAATAAAATCTTTATTTTGCTTAACAAAGTCCATCTACAATCAAGTTTCACTTGTTGTCTTCTTAGGCTGGGGACCTCACTGTATGGGTAAAACAATGTTTTAATTACATTTTCTTGAAGAATGTTTCATCTGATAATTATGCACTATATTGTTAACAGATTCTTAAATAATAATAAAATTACAAACTAATTTCTCAATGAATGGAGCATTTGTAGGGGACTTTATGTGGTTAACCCTTCAGATGTGAGGCAAACACTTTATCACTGACATTAAAGGAATCTTGTCTGTGGTGCAGTGATAAAGTGCTTGTCTCTGTCTTGCAGGGTTGGAAGATACTGGCTCATATAATTCCTCAATCATAAATTAAGTTAGTATGATCTCAGTGTGTTGGAGAAATTTGAGCACATGCATTCTATTGTTTCCATGCACTGTTTTTGAAAACTACATCTTTTGTCTCTTTAGAAAAAAAAGAGGGGAGGTCTCTTTAGGATTATGAAACTTAATTTTATAGTTTTATGATTAATTAAATTAAATGTAATGTAATTTTCTTGTGATAAAGTGAAGTGCAGTTACAACAGCTGAAATTATTTTATTACTGAAATTATGCTATAAATCTGAATTTTTTTGAAAAGAAAACATTGGTCAGCATTACCTGAAAGGTTATCTCACAAAAATATTTATTCTTATAAATAATCTGCATATTTTGTATTGGCAACATTGGGATAGATAGGGAAGTCAGTTTTTCCCACAATAATGATGAGTTAAGATTAGTTCAGTCATTACTAATTAGATGTGCATAGTGTGTAGGAAAATCAAGGAGAATGCTTGGCTCTAGGGTTTTAAAACATTGAGCACCAGTATTGTTCCCAAGTGATATAATTCTACAAGTTAATATATGCAGAATGTTTAAGAAAACTGTCATTGTGGTATCAGACTGTGCAGTTTTGTCTTTATTTAAGAGTATTTGATTGAGCTTTAGAATGTGATGTTCTGTCTCAGTATTTTGTCAGGGAGATAACAGTTTGGTTCATTTATAAATAGAGCTGTATGGTCTACATTTGAGAGTTAGCTTTGTGAATCTCTTTAGGTATTTTTTAAGAGAGGTTTTCTTGCTTGTGTTGTTTGAATTTACTTTTTTTTATATAGTACTGTAGTACCATTGGTATCACTCTTATGTAATATGCTTTATTGTACAGCATTGGAAAGATAAGACATACATTTGTTTAGCATTAATCAGTACTCATTTTCATAATCATTAGAGTATTCAGTCATATTAGTGGATTTCATTACTCATTTCATGCATCATATGGTTACTGTAGGATTTAGAAGTTTAAGATTGATACTGCAGCTGTTGAGATGATTGGCAGTCTTGTGTATTCTCATTTACTAAATTCCATAAGAGTTCTTTACACATACAAATAGCATTTTTAGTACCGGTTCTGTATGGAATTTTTAATACAGCACATGTAATCAAAAAGCTTACATTGGATGGAATTCATAAAATATGAAGTAATTTTTTAGGTATGTACTATGTATACCTTGACTCATTTAAATTAGCATTAATTTTGAAAATTAAATCGGCATAATTAATAGGACACAAGAACATTGAGTGTGTGTACAGTGTACATAAAACTGTGTGCCCATTTGTAAATTTTGTAATATTTTTTCTTCTTTAAACCTGATATCTTGCCAAATATAAATATAGAACATGAAAATGTGTGTTTTGCTACAACATTTCTTTTAATGAAGACAGTGGAAATTCAACATGGAAAGTTTGCCAGCATCCATAAGTGAAAAATAAATACCAACTTTCAAATTAACTGTACATATATATTTTTATCCTTTATTTCCATAAGTCTGCAGTATGAAAAGATGGCAAAGGGGGGTAGATGAGTAGGTATGTGTTGTGGGACTTAGAGAGCTCCAACAGAATATCATGGCAGAAGTAATACTAAACCAACAAACAGGAAGTAGAAATTACACAATATTTACCCTGGATCATTATCATATCTGATGTGAGAAAGAGTGTGAAATATAAGTCATGTCTGCACAGGAAGGTGAAGGTCTAGGTCAACAAGGTCAAGAACATGTGACCTTGGTGTTTCCTCAGTTTCTTATGCCCTTACCTGACTTCTAAACTTTCTCTTTCTCATTTTTAACTTGATAATGGTTCAGGATAGACAAAAGTCCCAGGGAACTGGGATAAAATGTCATTTGGAGCTCTATGCAATAAAAGATTTTACACATGGCATGGCTCCCTACAGGTTTAGGACTTCTCTCTGAAAATAATATACATAGATGTACTAAACTTAGGTAGTAGGTTGGTAGACAGCAACCACCCAGGGAGGTACTACCGTCCTGCCAAGTGAGTGTAAAATGGAAGCCTGTAATTGTTTTACGTGATGGTAGGATTGCTGGTGTCTTTTTTTTTCTGTCTCAAACATGCAAGATTTCAGGTACGTCTTGCTACTTCTACTTACACTTAGGTCACACTACACATACATGTCTTCTTTCTTTCAACAAACTGGCCATATCCCACTGAGGCAGAGTGGCCCAAAAAGAAAAACAAAAGTTTCTCTTTTTAAATTCAGTAATTTATACAGGAGAAGGGGTTACTAGCCCCTTGCTCCCGGCATTTTAGTCGCCTCTTACAACACGCATGGCTTATGGAGGAAGAATTCTGTTCCACTTCCCCATGGAGATAAGAGGAAATAAACAAGAACTAGAAAGAAAATAGAAGAAAATCCAGAGGGGTGTGTATATATATGCTTGTACATGTATGTGTAGTGTGACCTAAGTGTAAGTAGAAGTAGCAAGACATACCTGAAATCTTGCATGTTTATGAGACAGAAAAAAGACACCAGCAATCCTACCATTGTGTAAAACAATTACAGGCTTCCGTTTTACACTCACTTGGCAGGATGGTAGTACCTCCCTGGGCGGTTGCTGTCTACCAACCTACTACCTAGACACATACATGTATACAAGCATATATATACACACCCCTCTGGGTTTTCTGCTATTTTCTTTCTAGTTCTTGTTATTGTTTATTTCCTCTCATCTCCATGGGGAAGTGGAACAGAATTCTTCCTCCGTAAGCCATGTGTGTTGTAAGAGGCGACTAAAATGCCGGGAGCAAGGGGCTAGTAACCCCTTCTCCTGTATAAATTATTAAATTTGAAAAAAAACTTTTGTTTTTTTTGGGCCACCCTGCCTCGGTGGGATACGGCCGGTTTGTTGAAAGTAGATGATGTACTAAACTTAGGTAGTAGGTTGGTAGACAGCAACCACCCAGGGAGGTACTACCATCCTGCCAAGTGAGTGTAAAACGGAAGCCTGTAATTGTTTTACGTGATGGTAGGATTACTGGTGTCTTTTTTTTCTGCCTCATAAACATGCAAGATTTCAGGTACATCTTGCTACTTCTACTTACACCTAGGTCACACTGCACATGCATGTACAAGCATATATATATATACACACACCCCTCTGGGTTTTCTTCTATTTTCTTACTAGTTGTTGTTCTTGTTTATTTCCTCTTATCTCCATGGGGAAGTGGAACAGAATTCTTCCTCAGTAAGTCATGCGTGTCGTAAGAGGCGACTAAAATTCCGGGAGCAAGGGGCTAGTAACCCCTTCTCCTGTATACATTACTAATTTTAAAACCCTGGATAATTTTGAAACCCTGGATACATGGTTAAAATGTGTGGTAATATCAGCAGCATGCCCTAAGTAACACAGAATGGTAGGTTGCTGAGTGTGTATGTCTAACATCCTCAATCTTCAGTGAATCTTTTCATTGTTTATTCTTTTGGAAAGAGGAAGATCAAGCACCAATATCTTTCCAAACTCTGCAGGACTTACTACTTACCTGTAAGTCCCAACAGTCTTGCTACTTCCCTAAGACATACCAATGAATGTGGTTAAATAAGTCACTGAGCTTGAAGTCTGTTGAAGAGGATGCTCAGTATAGCACCCATCGCCCATGTATTCACCAGTACATTACTTTAGAGGTCAACATGGCCTAGGTGCTAACAGAACTCCACATCCCTGTACCAGGTATGGAGACAGGTGAGCTGCCGCTAGAATTTCTGAATGTCAGTGATGAATGAGCCACATGGGTTTAGCACCTAATAGTAATTAAAACAAAATTCTCAAGCTGAGGGTGAACAAAGCAATACAAGTCAAAGTAGACAGTGAACTGGATTTGCAATAGCTAGCATTCATTACAAGAGCAACACCCTTCAAGAGGGCTGTTTTATTGCCTTGATGCAAGTAATTGGAGCTGTCCTTTCCTTGAATCAAACCTGATTACTGCCTGTTCCTGTGGCAGAGTATGACATGTATAGGCTGTGCTTAGCCATGAACTCACAAGACATGGAGAACTCTTTCAGTAACTGGACACATTGAGGAATCATCAATGATGACTGTAGATCTCACTCCTCTTGACAAATCCCCAAAGGCTGAACAGAATTATGCTTGAAAAATTTGGACAAAGTCTTTACTGAAGCAGGCATTTAAGTCTTTGAAAATGGTGACCCCTATCTCCTGTACTATCCAGTTAGGACAGGAAAGAAATGGATCTTCCAGATTCCAGATGTCTGTTCTTCCCCACTTCAGTGTGTGAAAGCTCAATTACTTATTATAGCTTCTCACTTCCTTTTTCTTAACCATTTCAAATCTCATTCTAATGCCATTGCAATTTGGAGTGATGACTAAATCATATGAAGGTGTTGGATTTGCAGCAGTTTTTCCGTACAGAGTTGTACTAGGTCATTCATTAAACTCGGCTAGCATTTTCACAGCTGAACTGTATGCAATTCTCTTGGCTGTATTTCATCCATGTCTTCCTCAACATTCGTAGTAGTTTCTGACTTCTTTAGTGCATTACAGGCTATCCAAAAATTTCATTCTCATCTCCTCATTCTTTGCATACAACTTTGGTTCCATTGCATTTCTAGTAAAAAGAAAGACCTTGTTTTCAGCTGGGTCCCTAGACGTGTGGCAACAAGAAGGCAGACTCTGTAACACAGTCAGCTGTTCATGACCTCATTTCATACATGGGTATTCCATTCTCAAACTATTTTACTGTTATAAGTTTGAAGGTTTAAATAATAAGATACAGTAGGGCACCACTTTATGGCGTTTTACCTTACGGCGTTCTGCTAATATGGCAATTTCAAATTATGACCAAAATTTGCTATACGACAAGAGATCTTTCAAATACGGTGCACCCCACCCAGTTTGTTTATATTCTCCATGAGCACAACTCTCTATTATGCCTGGAAATTTTCCAGAATTTCAAGTGTTTTAAAGTTATTGCATTTTTTATATATACTCTGATGATTATACTTACGTGTACTTGTACCTAAATACACTTACACACTGTGCTGGCATGCAGGTACACATTAAAATCACTAAGAGTCTCTCTACTCTTGAAGATGCCATATTAATAATAATAATAATCTCTTGGGCCCATTAAATGTTGTATATTATGTTAATGTAGACATTTCCATTAATTCATCTATGATATTTTTTTCAAAATTATATAATAAACATGCTGTGTAACATATAATCATGATGCACCCACAGTATAAAAATTGACATAAATATGAGATTTGTTTACCAAGCGGTTTGTAGGAAAGTCGGAAGAATTACGTTTTCTCTAGTCAAACACCAGTAAATTAACTACAAATTTATTCCTTTCATATGCCTTCACTCTATCTACAGCTATTCATGGCCCTTGTGGGTTTAGCACTTCTTTTTTATTATGATTATAATAATTTATAATAACTTACAATAATAACAACTTGTAATAATAAATTAACAATAATAATAATAACTTACAATAATAATAATAACTTACAATAATAATAATAACTTACAATAATAACAACTTGTAATAATAATAATAATTTATCAGAGCATCATTTCTTCTAAAAATTACATGAGAATGGAAGTGTTGGTCTTTATTTATTCTACAGTACCACTGTGGAGAAAACTTGTACACAATGTAAGGTATTTGTTTGTATGAATGTTTAAGAACCATAACCAGACACTTTGTCCGTTTGTTTACATAGTGGGTGGGGTGGCCAGGCGTGCTTCCCTACCCTACCTCCACATGACTTTCTACAAATAAATACTTTTCACCTCTCGCCCTACATTAGGACCATTAAGACTACAAATATTTTTAGGTAAGTAATGAGCGTACTGTATATGCATTTTATCACTCTAGGGCACTAAGCGTCGTCATAGTATATTATGTGTGGGTGGGGTGGCCAGGAGGGCTGCCACACTTGACTTCTTACAGTAAATACTACTCACCTTTTTGCCCTACATTAAGACTACAAATATTTTGAGATAAATAATGAGTATACTGTGTGTGTATGTTATTTTTTATTGTTTTTTAATGCCTAGTTCTATTGGTAACTTAATGTTTGTTAGTGTAAACTTCTTATCTGGCATTTATATGCATTTATAAGCGAAAAAAAAAATGGCGTTCTGCTTTCTGGCAGTGTTTGCTTTCCGGCAGTAGCCTGGAACCTAATCTGCCATATAAGTGGGGCCCTACTGTATTTACAAGGACCCCAATATAATAATAATACAGTGGACCCCCGCCTTATGAAAACATCGCATTATGTTAAATCCGCCATGCGAAGCATTTGAACGCAAAAATTTTGCCTCGCCTCACGATAAAAAACTCGCCTTACGTGAT